ACCTCAAACTTTAAGAATCTTAGAAAATGCAGGAGACACCCTTATGGAAATTGGAACTGGTAACCAACTCCTGATCAAAACCCCAAGTGTCCATGACATAAGAGATAACATAGACAAGTGGGACCTCATCCAATTTACAAGCTTCTGCAAAGCAAAAGAAACCATCAAGAGAGTGGGGAGACAGCCCACAGAATGGGAAAAAATATTTGTCAACTTTATATCTGACAAAGGTCTAACATCCAGGAACTACAAGGAACTCAAATGCACTGACAGCCCCATTAAAAAGTGAGAGAAAGCCGGGCTCGGTGGCTCAGCCTGTAATCCCGTGCCTTTGGGAGGCTGCGGTGAGTGGATTGCCTGAGCCCGTGGGTTCGAGACCCGCCTGGGCAGGCGAGACCTCATCTCTACAGTAAAATAAAATAAAAAATCAGTCGAGCATGGTAGCGTGCGCCTGTAATTCCGGCTACTCGGAAGGCTGAGGCAGAAGGATCGCCGGAGCCTAGCAGGTCGAGGCTGTGGTGGCCGGGAGCAGCTACTGCACTCCAGTCTGGGCGACAGAGTGAGACTCCAACTCAAAAAAAAAAAAGTGAGCGAAAGACATGAATAGATATTTCTCAAAAGAAGATATATGGGCAGCCAACAGACACATGAAAAAGTGCTCAGCCTCATGAATCTTCAGAGAAATGCAAATCAAAACCACATCGAAATACCACCTAACACCAGTAAGAACAGCCATCATTAATAAAACAAACAACAACAGATGCTGGTGAGGATACGGAGAAAAATGAATGCTTCTACACTGCTGGTTGGAATGCAAACTAGTGCAACATCTTTGGAAGTGTCGCGATTTCTGAAAGAACTAGAAATTGACCTTCCATACGACCCAGCAATTCCTCTATTGAGAATATACCCGGAGAAACTCAAGTCATTCTACCAAAAAGATACCAGCACACTCATGTTTGTTTCAGCTCTATTCACAATAGGAAAAACATGGAACCAACCATGCTGCCCATCGAAGCTGGACTGGATTAAGAAAATGTGGTACATATACACAATGGAATATTATGCATTCATAAAGAAGAACAAACATATGGACTTCGCAGCAACTTGGATGGATTTAGAGTCTATTATACTCAGTGAGCTATCACAGAAACAAAGAACAGAGTAGCACATGTTCTCACTCATAAGCGAACCTTGAACAATTATCATAATACTATAAGAAAGTAATTGTCAGTACTGGGAAACTGCCGGGGGGGGGGGGATTGACAGTTGAGAGAAACTGCTAGGGGAGAGAGGGGCTTACCTCATCAACAAGAGTACCTGCATAATCAACATTTGTATACCTAACCTGAATTGTAGCCCATATCTTTAAAAAAGAAATGATCAGGGCTATGAAAAGCAGGTATCAAAGTTTCCCAGTCATGTATCTTGTATCTCTAAAAAAAAAAGGGAGACTGGAAAGTTTTCTTAAGAATGAGTCTTTGCCCTAAAAAAGAAATTAAAAAAAGAATTATTCATTAAAATAAAAATGTTCTAGTGCATCAAGAAAAAAATGAAAAAGAAAAAGAAAGACAATGTACGAAATAAAAGTGAACTGTTGGATTTATTTTATTTACTTTTTTTGAGTCGGGAGTCTCACTCTGTCACCCAGGCCACCGCAGCCTCGGCGTGGGCTCACTTCCAAGTAGCTGGAACTACAGGCATGCACCACCACACCTGGCTAACTTTTCTTGATTTATTATAGAGACAAGGTCTCACCAACTTGCCCAGGGTGGACTGAAATCCCTGGACTCAGGCAATCCTCTTTTTTTTTTTTTTGAGTCAGAGTCTCACACTGTTGCCCAGGCTGGAGTGCAGTGGCATGCTCACCGCCACCGCAGCCTCAACCTGCTAGGCTCAGGTGATCCTTCAGCCTCAGCCTTACAAGTAGCTGGAACGACAGCTGAAGGCATAGACCCAGTCTATGCTTT